CAAAATGTGTTTTACTGAGAAAAAACAAGATTTGGTTTTTAAAAAGCCTTTTTCCAAAAGGTACATCTGGAAAAAGGGGGGTCATCTTATATTCGGGCCAATACGGTATTATTCATGCATTTGACTTATAGGTTTGTTTTATAAGTTGCTCAAGCAAGTGGCAACACATTTAAACAGCATATAGCCTACATTTCTTGTTAAAAGTAGGCTATCACAAACATTTTAAATTAAAACTCACCACTGACAGAAACAGTCGACACCCGTGCCTATTCTTTTGCATTTAAATCTTTATTACAAGCAATCCCGCGGGTCTTAAAGAACTTTGTTTTTCTACCTCCACAAGACACAAGGGCATATGTTGCCTTTTATATCTAAAAGTGCACTTTTATTTGTTTTAAACCTAGCCAAAAAGCCCGTGAAACACAGTAGACTTTAATTATATCTATTTATTGTGAAATTACTACATTTCAGTCTCACTTTTCATTGTTTTAATCCTAGCCAAAAAGCCACGTGTTGACTGTGAAACACAGTAGACTTTAATTATATCATCAATTCATTGTGAAATTACTACATTTCCGTGTCAATCCATGTTCATTTTTACCGCGAACAATGTACTGTCACTGTAATTCAGCATCTGCAGCGCAGCAAAAATAAACTCGGTGCGTAAACGATCGCTGCACTGCTGCAGATGCACCGTTCCTGGAACGCACTGACGGACCGCAACCACGTGCAGTGTGAACGTTCTAATCCGTTAACATGAGTGCGGGGAAAATAAACGCAACGCATACTCACTGCAGACGGAGTATGTGTGAAACAGCCATTAGACGTGGTGTTTTTTCCACCATTCGCACCAGCCTTTGAAGAGTTCTTTTCTCTTTCCCCTACGTCCAGGGAGGTTCTTGACAGTTCCATGCTTGGCAAACTTCTTAATAACATAGCACACTGTTGAAACAGGGATACCAAGGTCTTTGGAGATGGCTTTATTACCCTTTGGAGGTCTTGTGTTTGCAAATAATAGCACTTCTGATGTCCTCAGACAGCTCATTTGTCTTTACCATTATGACAAAGGAACAGGGAGTAACATGTGGCTTTTTAAAACACGGAAGTCATTATTCAGTGGCTAATTTAAGTCACATGTGCAGTGCACTGACAATTTATCACAGGTGATTTTCATTTGTGATATACCACAGGTGAATCTAAATGTATTTCCATACTGATTTATACTGTAGTAAAGGGTGCCAATACCAGTGTCACAGCAAGCTTTTAAGTTTTTCAGTTTTTTTCTCCCATTGTTTTTCGTTTTAAATAGTTGTTTATCATTTGCTCTTTTGTATCAAACACAAGTTCTCTATAGAAAAAAGCTGTTTCACTTGATTAATTTTTATTCCACATTATGTACTTAAACTCCATGGGTGCCAATAATGGCAAGCAGAACTGTATATATATATATATATA